GCTAAAAAGTGTCCGCACTTGTAAGGCGCTAAAATCGTATACAGAGCGCCAAACTCCGCTTTAGTCTTCATTTGTTCGACTGACAGCGCGATACTGCGATGACATTACAATTTAAATTTCGAATAGGTTGACTTGGGACATTTTTTTCGTGGTTTTTGTATTAGACCCGTCGTCCATTTATTTGTAAGTCAATGAATAAAATGGACTTTTTTTAATGTTGATAGACTCAGCTTTTTATAAGGATGTTCATTGTATGGGACAAAAAATCGGGACAGCAGAAGTTGGTCAAATTTAATAAAACGATACCGTAAAGGCGTGAAAGCGTAACAGACAAGAGTTACTTTCGCATTTATAATATTATTATTGAAAATGTCTACAGCTATACATAGTATATTATATGGCCCAAACGTCTGCATCTGCAGACGATTTTACTTACCTAGTGTGATGTTTCAAAGGGGCGCTGGCTCTCTCAGCTAGTGGCGCGAGAGTGTCCGAATCTGAAGCTAGAGATTCACACGATTTTACTGGCCGAAGTCCTGGTATAATTATGTCCTGGAATTGTAAGTATTAATTTATTGTTATTGGGAAATATTGCGTCAAACTATATTTCCAGCTTGAAGTGTGAAGTAGACAAACAACTATCCCAAAAACAGTTCAGGTATATCGATATGCCTTACTTTCTCAAACTCGTGTCTTATAAAGAAATCACTATTCAGGAGACGGCAAAACTTTCTATTTATTTTAAATTTCTTATCAAGGGTGTTCATTTGGAGGCATTAGTTTAATAATAGGTAAAAGCCAGTGTGTGAATATGATGTTAAATCAGCCTGCAAAATTACTATATACAATCCATTTTTTGCATTTTAGTAACTTTGTGCTTTAAGATACGAGTTCGAGAAAGTAAGGCGAAGATATATTTTTAAATAAATATTAGACAACAACACATACATTGCTCTGATCCCAAAGTATGTAGCTAAACCAGCTAAACCATAATCTGAGGTGAAAATCCTAAAAATCACATTTTCAATCACGTTTTAGTTTGTCGACATTTATTCTGCATCGAATTTGGCTAGAATAAGATTATTTTTAAAAACACGGCTTACAAATGTAAGTGCGTTAACAAACCAATTGCATTAAGAAACTGTGGATACTAGTAAAGCAGGCGTGCTGTCTGCAAGCATTGACTGGGCCACGTCAACCCTGTACACTGGCTGATCCGGGGTCAGAACCTGTACTTATAAGGTTCCTGTGCGCACACGGGTTATAGTGCCCTTCTCGTATACCCTACTCTTCTTCTAGTCTAGGGTCGGTAGGGAGGGTCACTATGATCAAAACGAATGTAGAAAGATACGGGACTGGGCCATGTCACACATTGGCCGTTGGCTCTGTTTTCAAGAGACGCGTATAGACTGACCTCGGCGGGGCAAGCGACGGGCAGCGCGATGGGCGCGCTGGGCACTGCGCGTGCGCTGCGCGGCCGCTGCTGCTTGTTGCTGCGCGAGAACAGCCCGCGCCAGCCCGACGGTGATCTCTTTAGGCCGCGTTTCGCGCCTGGAACCCATTATCATAAGAAAATATAATATCTGTCCTCTTTTAATTGAACATAGTCATGGTATCTAACTGGGTGACGAAACACCATAGATTTCTCATAGATGGCGCTACGGCTAAAAAGTCGTTGAAAAACCAAATACAAAGATACGTCGCAAGCACATAGAAAAGCTCGTGAGGTCAACTGGTTCGTTCCGTGGCTTAGTTGGTATAGCTTCAGGCACAGTATGCTAGAAGACGTCGGGTCGAATCCGCCCGGATCGAAGGATTTTTTTCTTTTAACCGTTCAGATAATTACCACGCTAACTGTACAGGTAATTGTTATTCGATAACTGGGATGCCTTTTCGTATTAATATCACGAGGGTTGGGGTGTATTCGAAATTGTTCTTACCGGACAGTGGAAGATCCAACACTGTGTGGTATTGCGGCAGATTGTTCGGGCCTGAACCGACCTGGAAAAAGAGAGTAACTGTAATAGGAGGATTATTGTTGCGAACCGGTTCTATACGCGGAGCGGCATTCGCCTTATCGAGAGCCACCGGTGACAGTCGACCCCTATACATTTATTTATATAAACCAGTACGTGCAAGATTGAGACGGCGAATATACCAGTGCTTTTGTCAATATAATCCACTTTTATTTGACGTCCCTTAGGAGCCTAACAATTATGAAGCAAATTCTGTGTAATAAACTTTCGAATGACGCTATTAACTACCAGAGCGGCAGTAGATCGGTTGTTTTTTTAATTTCATAATACCAAATGACGGCACGAACAAGCCGTGCGCATGGTGGTAAACGACACGCCTGCCCATAACAGTTTCGGTGTCACTCAGAGCCTTCAAAGGAAAAGATATGAGGGACACTACCACTGCGCTTGTCACCCTGAGACATAAGTTGACCTTTACTCTTCAAAACCGAAACGCAAGTAATGTTCGCATCACTTCTTGGTGATAGATAAAATATCTAGATGAGAACCAATTATTTCGCAAATTGGTCCTGTCGGGATTCGAACTCGGGACCTTCTTATCCAGCGCCCGTAGTGCCCTTTGGATGATCACTGAGGTCGTAAGTCAGAGGCTTGTTTACCCAGTGTATTTAACATAATGGCAAATGCGCGCCGTTACATTTGTAGGTGGCATTCAAAGGACCTCAAGAGTCTGTACAAATGGCTTTGGTTAGTTCCGCATAACAGGGAAAGTGTTGACTCGTTCACTTTGGAAAAAATATATAGTACTTTACCATGTCGCAGGTGAAAGGCGTTGGTGGTCACCACATCACGTCGGGGTCACCACTTTACCATGTTACATTGTATAAAATAAAATATGAGTCGTAGATATTTAATGACTGTTTTCTGAATACTGAATGCCTACTGACTGACGGACTGATTCTGATTGATTGATTGAGGTTTACATTTTGTATGAGCTACTTATACTAATTTGGTACGTGTGTTCTATGCTGATTCACAAGGCATGATTGTAACTTTGCTTGCACCAACACGTGCCTGAATGTCGGAAGAGGGTTAGACATTCTGGCACGTCTGTGGCTGGTACAAGTACAATTGAGGATAAACACCGTTAAGTATGCGGTGTGACAACACGATTCCTAAAAATCCGCTGCATTCAATAGGTACTTAATATATACCAAAGATTTTTTTTAATATACGTGTTCTATTTAGAAGTTTGTAAGAAAATAAATTGTCAAATAAAGCCGGTGTCCCTGCCGCGCGAGGCAAGCAAAATTAATCGTATTAGTACGGGAAAATAATGTGAATTCGAACTGAGGTTAGTATCTACTCTCTTAACTTCATATTTTGGAGTTTATATTTAGACAAGCATTGCTTTTAGAATGCTAAAAAAACACGCAACGGTAAAAGACATAAGTCTGTGTGCGCAGCCCTAAACGTCATTCACGTTTCCGCCAATAGTCGGAAACCACAAACTATAACGCACCGTGCGCCGCGCCAGTGAGGTATATAAAAGTAACTTGAACTGTGAACATTAGCAATAAGTGAAGTGGACTATCGACCACATTCTGACATTTCCTTTCGTGTTACCCCGGCATTTCCCAAAAGTCCTAATATCGTTTGCTTTTTATTTGATCATAAGATTGATTTCAAGTGTCTAATTAAGAGCCTCATCCTTTTTAAAACGCTCTGTAGCAAAAAAATCCTATTACTTAGGGTTGTTTACCTCTCAGCTACAGATACATGTGAGGGGTCGTGTAGGGTACGCACCTCGATGTACTTGGGCTTGGCGTCGCCCTGCGGACGCAGCTGCGTGCCGGCGGAGGCGGCGGCGGCGATGGCGCCCTCGGCCGGCGGCAGGCGGGGACTCAAAGTCGTGGCCGGCACTGACTTGCCGCCGCGGCGACGCGCTTCCTCCAGGCTATGGAAACAAACAATAACGCACACACTCAACATAGCCCCACACTAGGGAAACCCTGTGTCCATATATATACATTTTAACAAGAATAGCTGGATTTGATTATATATATATTGAATTAAAATGAAAAACGTTACAATATGTTTCCTCTTTGTATTTTTCATAAATATAGTTCATCTATGTATGAACTTACAAAAATTGACAATTTAAATGGACATCTGCTCAGTAATTGGATGAGTAATGGGTTAAGAATGATTCAAATGAAACAAGTTCGGCTATGTATTTCATAAGTGTGACCAATATTTAGTCGATAGTCGATAGAATGTTTATCGACTGCAATCACTAGCTGTCCGCAAGCGGGCAACACTTTTACGCTGTGAACTGCCATTTTGCTCCGTCTTCAAAAATTACAAGACTATATTGTGCAATAATAGTAATGTCACCAATTGTGTGACCGTCAGGATGGCTGGTCGCCTGTCGCATCTGGCACTAAGGGTCGTATTCCAGAACTCTACTCAATGCTCAAGTCAGGATTTGAGCAGACTTGAGTATGATTTCAAGCACTGGAAATGCGACCCTAATGGCAAGGACTTGAGTGTGATTTCTAGTGCTTTGAATCATACTCAAGTCCTGACTTGAGCATTGAGTAGAGTTCTAGAATACGGTCCTGAGTGTATACTTAAGAATTGCTACCTATTCTAAATAATTGCTACCTTTGATATATTCTGAGAAATTTAAAAAAATAATTGACCTCGAATTGGCATTCTGACGTCAGGACGGCTGGCCGCCACTTTGTTCAGCATGAAGGGAACAGATTTTCCAGAAGTATGTATTATAAGTTATAAGTTAAGTATGTATTAATTGCTACCTATTTGCCACTAGCACGAATTAAAGGTATACGCTTCTTATCTACATTAGTTAAAAAAAATATAACCGATTGAAAATTTTACGAAGAAGTGCCTGTTTAAATTAAAAAAGCAAAAGTTTTTAGTGCTTTATTGCCATAATATAAAGGGCAGGCGTTGGCACTTCTCACACTCGGAATATATCAAAGGCAGCAAATACGTAGCAGTTCTTGAATATACACTCCGTGCCAGATGCGACAGGCGACCAGCCATCCTGACGGTCACATCAACTGCCCCCTACATCGCTGTGTTAGTCTTGGACGCACAAAACACTTTATTCAAAAGTAGAACAAGTAAAGATGAAATTGGTTACCTCAGCAGTTTTGTCGGCGGATTCAGAGGCAAGCTCTTCGGTCGTCGACAAGATTCGTTGCCACGTAGCTCTATTTGGAGATCGCATCGGTCTTGGTCGTGGAACTATAAACAAGTATCAAAGTTAAGAAAATACAGTAATGGTTTTCTGTTTTTTTTTCAGTAATTTTTTCTGAGTGTTCGATCTTTGTATTAATAATTATAATAATCTCAGCACAGAGTACTAAAAAACCGACCTCAAAAGTACGTACAATTACATCTATTTGCCAAGTTTTATTGAAATCGGTTACCGGAAAGTGCGCAAACCCGGATTCATCCCCTAGTTCGCCACTATACGGAACTTGACACAGGAGATAATAAAAATCGGTTCTCACTACTGAAAGTATATTGAGAGAGAAAAACGCCATGAATTGGAGAATAGCAAAATAAACCATTAAAATAATTGCTCCTTATAATAAAATTTAGACGTTATTTATAAAAATGAATCTTCATGCGTGAGCAGCCACCCTTAGAGGTGAATGATTTTCTTCAAAATTAAATGGGACCATTATGGAGGTACCCTCATTCCACCAAAAAAGGAATCATCAAAATCGGTACACAAATACCGGAGTTATCGCGCAACATACATACAGAAAAAAACAATCGAATTGAAAACCTCTTCCTTTTTTGAAGTCGATTAAAAAACAAATATTTTGCATTTTATAACATTTAACAACAAGCACATAGATAAATTTATAAGATCTGCCGGCTCAATCCGTAACTCGTTCGCTGAGCGTTAGCCACGTCGATACGATACGAGGCAATAGTCGCTAGTTCTTTTCCAGTCCGGTCGGTGTTTGTTGGAAAATAGTCGCTGGTTCTTATCCAGTCCAGTCGGTGTTTGTTCGAAAAATAGATGAATATCGTGGTAGAAAAAACATCGTGGTATTCAATAAAAATAAAACATTCAATAACATTTACCTGTTCCAGAGAATCCGGTCCAGAGTCCGCCCCCTGTTCCTGCGCGAACAAATCTTCGGCGAAACATATCAGGAACTCTGTTACCACTGCCTGCACAGGGAGAAACAAAACCAGTTATGGTTTAAACTGCCCTCGTAATATGCCGCCGCGATAAAGCTATTATATCCACATTTAGCTATCAAATTCGAGTGATAAACCAGCATTTATAAATTTTATCACAATAGTTAACATGGCGAGCACCATGACGTCATATTTTTGTCGCATCACGAGTGCCGCGACCAATGACTGCAAGAGTATCGCAGTGTCAAACACGGCTGCAAGGTCACAGCTGATTTTAAAATATTTTGACAGTTATGAACAGTAATTTTATCAACCTAAAAATTGAGCGCCACAAACGAGATAAAAAGAAATAATAATAAAAAAGAAATTGATACATATAAATTATTGGTGAGAGTGAATTACAACATTTCCAATAGCTATATAAAAAAAAGAAGAACAAGTCAAAATGTGACTTATAAGATTATTGTTCGGATATTCCACAAAACGACAATTTATTTATATCATTTACCTGTTAATTTTGAATTTTGTTTAGAGATTTATGGGGAACTGTATACGTTTTTACAATAACATTCCGGAGCACTAAGATGACCATTTCCTAGGTTCGTTAGGTCCTTAGGTCCATTAAAAGTATTTTAATTGAAAAGTCATGTTCCAAAATTGAAGAGTATTTGTTAGACAAAGATTTATGGAAAGACAACATGAGTCTTGATTCCACACAATTATGATTCAAAGTGTATTCCGTAGCATTTAAGTTCATTTGAAAAGAGCAATCCCTAGAGTTCCTTGCTCGAGGTCAGTGAACGGGCAGTAGCTTAAAAAATGACGTTTTCAAATGTAAAAATTTTAACTATGGAAGAAATCATCTGTTTAAAGGTAAAACCACATAAGTGACAAATCGTCGCTTTACTTTCTCAAACTCATATCTTAAAGCACGAAGTTACTGAAATGCAGAAAATGGATTGTTTTGTGGACAAATTTTGCAGGCTGATTTCACATCATATTTCCTTCATATTCACACACTGGTTTTTGCACATTCTTAAAGTAAAGCATCCAAATTAACACCCTTGATAAGAAATTTAAAATAAATAGAAAGTTTTGCCATGTCTCTCAGTTTGAGCAAGTAAAGCATCGATATTCCACAAAAAGTCTCTAATTTGTATACCCATGGTAAGAAAATTATTATCGTGAAACTCAATAACAAAAAAGCTTTTTATCTGTAGAAAGATGGTGGATTTCTTTCAACTGGTACATAACTTGGAGTTTTTTTTTGTGGAAAATGTCACTTATGTGATTAATTAATAAATTCAGGCGTTACTTTGCGGGAAGTCCATGTTAATATAAATGGAAGTAAATTAATTTGCTACTTCGCGAACCCAGTGAAGGTTAAATCGTGTAAAATAGGTGCGCTTGCGTTGAATATTTAAAAAAAATTATTTATCTATATCTAATTATTTATATTTTTTATTTATTTATCTATATAATAAATAAATAGATTATAATAATTATATTATAATCTATTTATTTATTTATTTTTCATGCATGGTGACGCTATACGAAAAAAATTAATACCTTCGAAAGCTCGTGGAGAGATGCTAGAAACGTGAGCTCGCAAGGAAAAAGGAAGGGAAGCCGTGCTACCACCGGTTGGTGGTACTGTCCGAAACGTCGAAGGGCTCGGGCGTAGCGCTTCACCACTTCACTTGCGGCCGACCACCAATAACGCCACTTGCGTACGCGTTCCAATCTTAACGCTACACACGCAGTAGTACGGATTAGGATGGGAAAGGAAAAGGAGATGCGAGCTCAGACAAACTATCTGGCGTTACCAGTGCAGTTAATTAACATGAAAAAATATTCGTTCGCGGAGTAGCAAATTAATTTACTCGGACGACGAGTGATTATTTGGAATTTGCAGGGGTTGCAAGGAATTGCAGGAGTGTAGCACGCTAGGCCTGGTGCTGCGAGGGGAGGCGCACCTGCACGGCCACGCCCTGCAGCGCGTGCTGCGGCGCGGGCGAGCGCAGCAGGTTGGGCGCCCACACGATGGCCATGTTGCGCGCCGTCATGCCCGTGGCCGCGCCCAGCAGCGACACGCGCCGCAGGTGCCGCATCAGGTACGCCAGCGTCCTGCGACACCGACCCACTTTCACTCAAAACCGAAACACTCCCACTCATCCGCTGGCTGAAGTCGGACAATGCTGCAGACGTCGAAAAAATCCAATGCACTTAAATTAGTGATGAAAGAGACTCAGTCTTTAAGGCCTTTTAAAAACCTACTCAACTAGTCTAGTCTTTTAACCCTAGGAAGCTCAAAAGACTTGTAGGACTAAAACGACTGGCGCCTCATAGCCCCAAGAGTCATTATTATATTTATGATTTTATTTCCACCCACAAGGTAATTAAATAAACGTGATTATTTACTACATACTACTTACGTCATTTTTATTTATAAACTTCGGGTTTAATAAGACATAAAATAGGTATAAGTACTTTGCAAACAACTCGAGTCGTTCAAATCTTTCAAGTCGTTCAAGTCTTTTGAGTCTTTTAGTATAACGACCGAGTCTTATTAATAAACACTCGAATCCCCAGTAATTTAATTTTAACTTAATTTTAGAGTCGAGTCCTGTAAAATGGAGTCGAGTCGTTATAAAACGCCTTAAAAGACTGTCTCTTTCATCACTAACTTAAATCTAGGGCGGACGAACTAAAACACATAGGTCAAAATCCAACAACATTCATTTGCATTAATATATCTACTGGCTAAAGCCATTGACTTACAAATAAATGGACGACGGGTCTAATACAAAAATCACGAAAAAAATCTTCCAAGTCAACCTATTTAAACGTAGTGACATGTAAAGGAATATGAAAAAGCTAAAACGTTGAATTTAAATTGTAATGTCATCGCAGTACTGTCTGATTTTGTTTGCTTCGCTGTCAGTCGAACAAACGAAGACTAAAGCCCTATAAGTTCGGACATTTTTTAGCGCGGACCCGACGTCCATATAATTGTAAGTCAATGACTAAAGCACATAAGTCGAATTCATTAATTTTAACTGCCTCTGTGGCCAAATGGTTGCCATGCCGTTGACTGCCACGCAGAGGTTCCAGGTTCGATTCCCGGGCCGGGAGAAATATTTGTATGACCTACATTTATTCCTCTCGTGACTTTGAGTGTAATTTGTGGTTGTCTATATGTGTCCATGGCACCCGCGACACAGAGTTTCCCCTAGTGCGGGGCTATGTTGAGTGTGTGCGTTATTATTATTATTTATAACTTCATAAATTTGTAACTTTATTTTATAGGCGTCTTTTTCAAATTTATCATTCTCTTCACATCTTCCAACACTAAAAACAACACTAAAAATATATAATTATATATTAACAAACGAAGCACTTTTTCTAATTATGTGCTAGTACTGTGGCTCTATTGAAAAAGACACGTCAAAAAGTCCACTTTACAAGGAAACGCGAAAAACACTTAACGCTAAATATCATATTAAGCTTTAACTGTTATTTGCGATTCATTGCAAAGTTGGCTTTTTTTTACTTGTACCCCTATTCACTAGAGCCACAGGTATGATACCGACCATAGCTGTAATGAAAATAAAAAAGGCCCGAGGGTTTTATTTGGGGCATTACAGTCAAGTTAGCCTGCAAGCAATCATACTATTTACTGCATGTTTCGCGGGTGGCAAGGGAATTACGAACCTCGACTCCGAAAGCCCTGTCTTCGACTTCTAATAGTCTCCTCCGCAATTCCTCATTTACCGCCCTTAATATACAATACACCATTGCGTGTGGTGGTAAGCGATACGCCTAACCATAAGAGTAAAATAAATGTAATAGTAATAAAAATGTTTAAGAATTATAAAAATAATAATTTAATTAATTTTAAGATAAAAATATTGTGTAATAATTATATTTATTAATAATTATAGAATCTTAATATAATTAATTATCTACACTAATCTATCTAAACTAATTAACTACGTTCAAGCTTGCAATGTATTTAAATTCCATTGTAACTTTGCTACACCCTTACAGGGTATCACATGTCGACCCCTCCGACGTAAAGTATCGTATGTCGATGGAGGAGAGGAGCCTTTTAAATATTCTGAATTCACTGAAATAAGCACAACACGTGACTTTAGCATTTCTCAGTTTTTTTCGACAAAGCTCATTACTCACATAGAGTATCATAAAATCCTAGATATCGGTTAAATGATGTATTAGATGATCACTATTTGAGTAACGAGCTTTGCCGAATAAAACGGAGAACTTTAAAACGCTTCCCTTTAAACTTGGTAATTTCGACATACGATACTTTACGTAGGACGGGTCGACATATAAGTTTATCATCCATATGAAATGCAAATAAATGAATATGAATACCTTTAAGCAGAGTTGCAGTGTCATTCAAAGCTTTAAATTGAAAAGATCTGAGGGCACTGTACCTGCACCCGTCACCATGAAACATAAGTTCACAAGTCCCATGTGCCTGAAATTACCTATTTCTGCCGCCAAGCAGTAATGTGAGCATTGCTGCGTTCCGGTTTGGAAGGATAAGGGAGCTGGTGAAATTACAGGCATATGGGACTTGTCAACTTATGTCTCAGGGTGACGGGCGCTGTACCAGTGCCCCTGAGATCGTTGTGATTTAAAGCTTTGAGTAGCACTGCTACTGTTATAGACAGGCGTGTCGCTCACCACCAGGTACACGACTTGTTCGTCCCATTACTTAGTATTACAAAAAATAATAATAATAAAAACCTGTAATGCGGCGGTGGCAGCTTGACAACAGTATCTCGTACGGCTCTAAGTTTGGAAGCCTCGTCTGGCTGTTGTACGGCGGAGACGAAGCTCTCGTACAGCTGGTACGTGCATAGCGGGTTGGGCAATTCACTGTGAACATGTAATAATGTCAGTTAAAAAAAAAGTCTTTATTAACTTTCACAAAAGAAACTTATATATATCTAAGGTCTGGTTTTTTTGTTTTTTTTTTTTAATTTTTTTAATTGTCCCGCAATATAGAAACCCTGTATCGCAGGTGCTATGGACACACACAAATAGACAACCACAAATCACAACCAAACTCACGAGAGAAATAAATGTAGGCCATACACATGTTTCTCCCGGCCTGGGAATCAAACCTAGGACCTCTGCGTGGCAGTCTGGCAAAAACTGTAATGTATTTACTAAAACAAAGGCTATAAAAATACTTTTATGAAATACGTAAATTAGTGCACGTCGTTACAAGTAATGTATTGTGTAGATTTTTATGAACAGTCACAGGGATCATTCTAGATTATTTTTAGTGTAATTTGATAGATTTGATAAATTAGTGCTGTGTATTACAAAATTAAACATTGTGTATTGTATATGGCATACCGATGTCGACATCGATTTCTCAAACTCGTATCTTATAAAGAGTGATTCAGGAGATGGCAAAACTTTCTATTTATTTAAATTTTTTTATCAGGGCCATTGACTTACAATTATATGGACGTCGGGTCCGCGCTAAAAAGTGTCCGAACTTATAGGGCGTTAAAATCGTATACAGAGCGTCATTCACGCTTTAGTCTTCGTTTGTTCGACTGACAGCGAAGCAAGCAAAATTAGACAGTACTGCGATGACATTACAATTTAAATTCAACGTTTTAGCTTTTTCATATTCCTTTACATGTCACTACGTTTAAATAGGTTGACTTGGGACATTTTTTTTTGTAAGTCAATGATCAAGGCGGTTAATTTGGATGCATTACTTTAAGTAAAGGCAAAAGCCAGCGTGTGAATACGAACTAACCGTGATGTGAAACGATCAGCCTGCAAAATTTGTATGTACAATCCATTTTTTGCATTTCAGTAAGTTTGTGCGTTAAGATACGAGTTTGAGAAAGTACGGCGACGATATATTGATGAGGCAGGAGGAGGCTCACCGGAAGTACATCTTCAGCAGCGAGGCCACGGCGTGCGGGTCCCTGACGACGGGCGCGGCCGACAGGTCGGGCGCCGCCCCGGAGTCGAACTCCTGGCGCAGGCGCTGCGTGAGCCCCGAGCCGCCCGACAGCCGGTACACGCCGTCCACGGCGCCGCGCGCCTCGATGGCGCCCGCGCACTCCACCAGCACCAGCGGCACTGCGACAAACCAGAGCCCGCTTTACACATCAGTCTTTGTGAGAGGTCGTCCAGACACGTACTGCCACCGTCGAGTCAACCAGAAATAGAGACGAAATGACATTTAACTTGTTTGAAAACTATTCTGCCAAATCATTACGGTGACAACTGCGCTCAGATTGGCCAGTCCGAATTCGAAACAATTGACGTGTGTTGTCAATTGTTTCACTACAAATCGTCCAGTTAACTTGAGCTTTGCTATAATAGACTAAAATTGCAAAGTTACATACTAAAATTTGATTGCGTTTGTTTTGTAATTAGATGTTTTGCTGATTTTCCCCACATGTGGTGTGGGGAATGGAACAGCACGCCATTGTTAGAGATATTATCTTTATTACAATAAATACAGAATATTTTTGGAATATACGGAGAAGTACACACAGGTCAGTTGTTGGCGCTGTCTGAATTTCAGTGCAAACAAGAATTGATAAGTGCTGTATCACTGATGAGTTACCAGGAACGTATGGCCCTTATTTCGTCTCTATTTCTGGTTATATAATCGATGACTGCCACCTTGCCTATTTCTGCCACCAAACAGTAATGTCAGCATTGCCGTGTTCCGGTTTTGAAGGGTAGTAAGGGTCCTGGTGAAATTACAGGCACATGGGACTTGTCAACTTGTCTCAGGGTGACGGGCGCAGTGGCAGTGCCCTCAGATCTTTGCGATTTGAAGCTCTGAGTGGCACTGCAACTGTTATGGACCAGTATGTAGCTTACCATCAGGCGCACGACTTGTTCGTCCCGTCACTTGATATTATAAAGGACGGTAAATAAGATATTAGTAACGAAGACCTACTAGAAGCCCAAAGCCGAAGGCTTTGAGGACTTTAATAAACTCGAGTCGAGTTTGTATTCTTTTATCGTCCGTGATATACAATGCTTTTTAATCACATTTGCGAGGAAATAAATACAATATAAATATGGTTCACAACATAACAATTATGGATTTGGGTTTTTGATTTTTTTTCTTTTAATTCCTTCATACACAATACAACTCGAACTAAAATGTAAAAAGCAAACACGCATACACAGCCATGATGGATTGTAAAAAAATATCCGAAATTTTTATACAGAAATTAATTAAAATCAATTATGAGACATTGTTAATAATATTTAAGTAGTATTTGGTTTATTTGCAATTAAATTTCTGTAAAGTAACTCCTTACTTGAACTTCAACCTGATATGTAAGGAAGTATGTCGTGCTACAATTTAAAAAAAAATCTCCTCACCGATCACGGCTGTAATGGAAATAATGAAGGCCAGAAGTTTTATTTGGGGCGTTATAGTTAAGTTAGCCATCATGCAATCATACCATTTACGAGCAAGTGTGATGAAATAGTATTTTATGGAATTGTAGCATAAGGAGGGTTCCTAAAATCGAGTGACGTACGAGATTTCAAGACTTAATTATGTAATGATTGCATACAATACTTTTTGTACGAGTAAACTAAAATAATGAAACACATTTTGTTAACAATCCACGACATCAAAACTCAAACGAATGCCCAACAAACGCCATAAAACAAAAAAAAAAGAGATAGAATAGAAGTGTCTATGATTGGCCAAGTACCGCTTATATTTTAACCAATCAGGAGGCAGTAGAACGTTTAAGGAGCGTCATATTTAATATTTTACGTTGTTTTTAAGTAGTCCTTTTTGTTCCAAATCGCTTTATATCTATTATGTAACATTTCGTTTAATCATGTTAACGTTATTAACGTTATTCTGTTCTGCGACCTTAGTCTAACTTTTCAAATAATGTAAGATCTTAACTTAAACTATATAACTATATAATTAAATTCAATTCTTATTTATTTAGACCACAAAGAGTCCATATATGTAAAACAAACACGTTCAGCGTGAGGGTTTATCAGAGCCGATACCCAATGCCTTTGTAAAGCACTGTCCGGTCTCTCAGCTAATGTCCTCAGGATGCTGCATTCTGCGTCTCACTGGCACAATTTTTTTACGCATTAGTGTATAACACAAACAGTCAGTGCGTGCATCCGCAAACTTACCAGACGCACCATAAACATGTCATTATATAGGAAAGTCGTTGAAAGTCTTTTGCGTATGCCTATATAATCAAGATCCAAACAAAAAACTTAACGCAAACGCGGTAGTTAAGTGTGAATTATTACAAATTTACACTCAGGTCTCAGGTACACAGTGACGCGTTCAAGGAGACTTTCAATTAGCGAAAATACGTTCTTTTTTGAAACTCATTAAAACAGTTCTGAGTACGGAACAGAAGGGGTCAAGTATGTGGTACCTTCATGTCCACAATTGAGCAGATGCTCCCCAAGGTCGCAGCCGAAGACCCTCTCTCGAAGGATGCCCTGCTGCTTGAGGCTGCGCCGCGACGGCCGCGACAGGATGAACGACCGGAACAGCGAGATCAGCTTGCCGTGCTTCCGCAGCACGGGCTTGATGGGAGCTACTGCCACTGAACTATAATAAAGAAAATAAACCACATACATATACCGCCTCACAAATTGTATACTATTAAACATGTTTGCGTATATATACGACCCCAAAGTTTTGCACCGTGGGCGCTGGATGGACGAGGTTCCGAATTCAATACAAACGAATTAAGAAACGAATTTTTCTTAATTGATTCTGCCCTGAGTGTTAGGGTGTACAGGAAATTCTCTGGTTTCAGACCTAGTGTAATTGGTGTGGTTGTGTATAGTCCATTTGTTTATGTACTTAACTAAATGTAAACAATCTTGAGATGTCTATTGAATGAAATATACATTTATAAAATGATTTTTACTTACCTTCAAATACAAAATACAAGTACGTAGCTTCGTATGAAATTGCATGCCTATTGATTTGTAAAGTACATGTTTCAATAAAAAGACGTATCAAGATTGTTTACATTTAGTTAGGTACCTAAACAACTGGACTATAGAACATTATTATTATTTTGAAATTTGAAATAATAGAAAATGGAGATGTGGGTAGACAATTCAAAGTAAAATTGGACTCTATGACCATGAAAATAAGGTTGATAATGCAGTGTGGACTATTTGTATAAAATTTAGTGTGCCAGTCTGGCTCAAAAGTGCAAAGTGATGTTAGACTCTCTGGCGATGTAAGGGTGATAATGCGATGTGACCCGTCACATCACGTTAGTGTCCACGAGGCGTATCGACCAATCAGACAGCAAAAAGCTATATTGCGCTACAAAATGCTGCGCTCTGATTGGTCGAGCACGATGGTCAATACTCACCCTACGATAGGCGGCGGCTGCGTCATATGCCTGGGCACTTTATCACCAATGACGGCAACACAATGTCGAGGAAAGAAACCCACACGAAAACCACGTTTACCACGCCACCAGAGGGATTCTTGAGGACCTGTAATTTGAATGTTAACAATATGTCAAAGGTATGTCACAGTTAAGCATATTACGCATGAAATCGTTATATTGATTAAACTCTACTGCTTATTCATAAGGCAGATTCCTTTGAGAAAAATGACTGGTCATGTGTAATTCATATTTCGTACCTACATTGAAGAATGTACGGTTCGTGTATTGTGTAGTTTACAGTATGTGTATTGTAGTTTACAGTTCGTGTGTTGTAATAGTTTACAGCATACATTCCCAGTTCCCAAACTATTTCGGTTAGCGCCCACTTAGGCAAGATAAAATAAATTTCAACTCCCACCACCTTCTTTTTCTTCTTTTGCCTGGTCTTATTTCCATTTATTTGGGGTTGGCCCTTCTGGTCCCTCTTCTCCAAGATGGAGTTTCTTGAACGCCCACCACCACAAAAAATATTGAAAACACGTATTTTTCACAAAATCTCACAAGGATAAAGAATTATATATATGTAGTGTAGTTTATATAATTCAGTTTCTTTTCAAATGCGGTAGTATCCTCTGGACAGCATCAATGCCCTCACTAGCGAGGCCACTACCGCCACTCTAAGACTCTTCTGCGACCACTGGGGGTAGGGACCAGGGAAAGTATGGTTTACAGTTGGTGTAGTTTACAGTTCGTGTACTGTGTAGTTTACAGTTCGTGTACTGTATAGTTTACAATTCACGTATTCTGTAGCTAACAGATTGTGTATAGGAGAGTTTACAGTCCGTATGTTATATAGATCACAGTTTGTGTATCATGTTGTTTACAGTTCGTATAATATATTTACTAACCAGGCATGTCAATAATAGAGATCATATCCCCAACTTCAAAGCTGATCTCGTCTCTAGCCTGCGACACGTACTTGCGTACCGAGTACGCCGCTGCGACAGCCGGTGTGTTTATTGACGACGAGTCTTCGTTCGCTACTAACAATTTGTGCCCTGGAGAAACAACAAGTATTTATATGATAATGGATCATGATAGCTTGGAATGCACAGAACAAACAGATACAGTACTGCCCTCAGAACGAAAAAAGGTACAACTGCTTTTTAAAGTACGCATAGTTGTGCCGTTTTTCGTTACGAGGGCAGAGTAGGAGTGCTTAGTTTGTGTGGCACGTGTGCCAACAATTCGGAGAGTTCCGCAAACTTGAGCTCAGCCCGCCTTTTTCGCTTTACACGTTACTGTCGTGTCAATTATCTCTTGCAAAACCCGAAAATCATAGGAAAATGCCTTGTTTTGCTACTTTGAAATGCAAAAATTATAGTGGCACTTGTAACGTTATCTATGGTGCTGTTTCGTATCATCATTAAGTCTTATTTTATTTAATTTTAATAAATTTTCTGTTTATCGTAATATTGTTTTTTGTTACACGAAACTAAACCTAAAACTGCTGCAATATGGTTGCTTCTTTTTTGGAGACTTAGTAAACATCTCGAATTGGTCGTTGTTCAGTCATTAAACGCTAGATGGCAGCACATTGAACAATGAAATTTCAATATAAAACGTCGAACTTGCAATAGTTTATTGATAACAACGAGGCAAGAAATCGTAGTATAGTCCACTTAACTAATTACATTTTAAAAATGTTAAGTATCGTCACACCCCGGACACTCCATACAACGGTCGAAAGTTAATTACTTTTATTATATTATTTGAAATATATATATTATATTATATTTATTAAGTTATTTGAAATTGCGTATCCAAGTTCATCATTACCTAGTTTATAATTAGGTATATTCGCTACGTAATAATTATCGACAATACAAATTGAAAACACGAGAATCTTCTAGTAATTGTTTATCATTATATTGACATAATAAATCTGTATTATATATTACTCTGCACTAAATAAACGAAGAAAACATTGATCTATCAGGTCCATGGAAGACAACAATAACTGAATTTTTGTCATCTTCGTTTCATCTTTTCGGAAAATGAAAGAAACTCCTCTCTTTATCCCGTTTAGATTATTATAAACAGCCGTACACAGCACAATTCACGACCATTATAAATAGTAACGTACAATGATGTTGTATATTAACGTACAAGTTTCGTAATGAATAAATGAAAACTATATTCAAATATCAAAGCCGTCTTGGAGCGAAAACGACTAGCCTTGTTGTCGTTCAGTCAATGTAACCGTCAATGTGCGGGGGTGGTGCGGTATGTAAATGGTTACCTATCAGTGCTCCGAAATGACAGTTTCAAGAAATAACGTGTGCTCGAACTTTCATAACCTCGAAAGTAACTTTGAGACGAAAATGTTTTTTTTCTTTTTAATTTAACTTAACCAAACCTAACCGAACCTAATCGTGTCTTTGCGATAAACATCTAACATATCCTGAAAGAACGACGGTTTCGTCATAATTCAGTTTTCGGTGTAATGAAAATTCGAATAAACGTAATTTCGAAAAAAAAATTCGAGTTTGTGATGATAGGTTACCACCGGAAGGGCGGAGAGTTTCAATTCTCTTACTTTTTTCTTCTGTAGTATCGTCTTCAGTTTTATCGTATAACCTCTTCGGGAAAAGGGACGTAAAGGGTACACATCGCACTTGGCAACTAGCATAGTATTATCTCAAATATTGCGTTATATTATATTTTATATTAATAATTTATCTCCAAAATTTCGCTATAATGACGTGTCTTTCATATACGATTTAATTTCAAAGTGACAGGCCAACACTTAAAACTAAATAGGTAATATTAATATAACTTGAAGCCATTTTGAGATAATACTATGTTAGTTGTCATGTGCGACATGCATGTATGATAATTTAAAAATTACCTTTATTATCCATCTGCAACCAGTTGAGCACCGGCCCGCAATTAATCGAATCGTCAGCAATAATAGAAAGATGGTGCACGTAGTCGGTGATTAGAAGAATGTACTCCTCCTCGTCTTCCAGAAGTGCCGGGGTTATCTTTTCGGATAGGTTCGGTAATCCGGATACTTTTCGATCATAGATACACCTGAAATTATTTAAAATATTGTTAAGGCGGTCTTCAAAAATGGAGGTTCTCAATTGGATTTTTTTAAAATGTATTTTACGCAATTACACTATTTGTGAACCAATTTGAAGATTCTTTTTTATTGGAAAGACCTTAGTAGTGGTCACATTTAAATTTGAAGAAAATATTTTACCTCTAGGGGTGGCAAACTAGGGGATGAATCCCGTTTTGTGCACTTTCTGGTAACCGATCTCAATAAAACTTTAACACGAAGTTTTGAGGTCGGTTTTTTTTAATAAAAATGTTATAATTTTTTAAATATTAGTAAGGCGAAGTAGCGAGCGAGCCTAGATTTTGGGAAGTGAGGTGGGTGTCGCTCCCTATTAATAAAATAAGAACAGGCGAAAATTTGACACAGATCGGACGTCAACAAGCGCCCAATGGTGACTGACGGGGCCACGGAAACCGCGGCGTGTCGTTAATCCTCTGAACAATTTGGGATAAATGTTAACGTAATAACTAATAGGGCTTTAGTTGTAAACCAAAATGTTGCAGTTCTCTGTAGTACTTACAGAGAAATATTATCATATAAAAATTATGTACAAAGTTAGTAAATTAACCTACACATTCAATAAAGTTTAACAAACCCCAGGTCTTTGCGAAAGAAGTCCGTTATCTACCAAGGATGGTGCGAGAGATGAATGAAAAAACATCCTAATTTCAACAGGGAAGATGGTTTCTCCATACCACCAATTTGGGATCCAGTGTTTCCTCTGTTGAAAAATCTCAAACAGATTTAAGACTGCAGTACTAATTAATATGTTTTAATTTATTCTAATTTCTTTTATTAATATATAATAAATTTTACTTAATAAAAATTCATTCAATAAAATAATTTGTAAAATGTAATGTAGCGTAAATTGGAATGTTTCTTTCTAAAATTAAAAATAAGGTATTTAATTAATAACTTTTGTAACTATAGTGAAAAAATTGGGTGGTTTTCGTTAATATTAGACATAACTGGTTAATGACTGTACCACCTCAGTCAACCGTGACCATGGGACCTGTAATGGGCCCGAAACGTCGGTTTGTTTGAAAAAACGAATATACGCGATTTATATCCGGAAAAATAGTTTCATTTCCTAAATTAAAATTAAATTAAATTCAAAATTAAATACAATTGAAAATAGGGGAGACTTTAAATTTTGGCAGATAGCCACACGAACGCCACCTCGCGGAATAGTTACCTGTGTAGCATGTCATCGAGCTGCAGTAAGTTGTCAGCGTTCCTAGTAAGTGTCCATTCGCGTACATCGCTGGCCTCTGTCCAACTAGAGCTGAGCGTGCGCGCTTCTACAGATTCGTCACAGGACGAGTTCACATGAGACCGGACTTTCAGGCAGATCCAACCTGGAAACACAAAAACCGGGTATTAGAAGACAGTTAGATTTAAAAAGTTTCGTCGTGTTAGGAAAGTTTTAGTTCAAAGATGCGGTCTACGATGGAACGAGCTTGCTTTTTTGGTTAGTTGTATAACTAATGTAATTTAGTACCGGTTAAATAAATGGCAACCAATGAAATATCTCAATTTTGACAACTTTACACGATGAAGAAAAAAACTGTTTGCGTCATTTATATAGCATGTGGTTTATGACATAAAAATACGTAGTGTATGTGTAATAAAAATATTTTAGAACTACGTGTTTTTATTTAATAAATCAGATGCTATATAAATGACGCAAACAACTTTCTTCTTCATCCTGTAAAGTTGTCAAAATTGAGATAGTACAGGTTGCCAGTTCACAGTCGATATGCATGTCTCTGCAGTTCCATAAATATTGACATACAATACAACCATAGCCAAAAAAATACATTCCTTCCTGGACTTTTTTTAATTTTAGTGAAGCGACGTCATATTCAGATATTTATCTAACCAACAGATTATGTAGCGAAGATTAATCAAGTTGATAAATTTAGGTACCTGTCTAATAAATTATAAAAGAAATTGTTATTGTTTATTATAATGAATCACTTGAATTCTCATTAACATTGATTATTAATTCTTGAGTATACAAATTGTCAAACGCAACATCACGATCCCAATCAGACAATATCTTCTTTTTGAAACACGCTCACGTTCACGATTAAAACTTCTTGAAAAACGAAACGGAAACGCATTAGATCATCAGTAATTGATTAGAATTCGAGCTATCAAAAGCACAGTAAATGGTTGGACGGACTATAGAAAGGTTTAAAAGTCGCTAAAACTGTAATTCTACTGCATTAAAAAAAATATAGGGCTTATTTCAAAGGCAAGAACTTTATGGTCATAGCACAGAGAATAGAAAATACTGAGTAGCGCCTTTACAAAGTCAGCTAAGATAAAATATTCGGATAATTGGGATAAATTCGTTCATTCATTCAAAAAATAATATTAAATGATGATTAAATCCAATTAAATCGGCGCCAAAATAGTAGCCCATTTTTTTGGCGCTAAATACATCCTGAAGGTCGAGCGGATCAAAACGGATTTGAGAAGGGTCCTAAAGGGTTGGCAACTCGATCGTGATGACCCTGGTGTTGCAGGCGTTCATAGGCGACGGTGACCGCTTTCCAACAACCTACATAATATTAAAAAATAAATAAAACGTACAGTTGAATGGAGAATCTCCTAGTTTTTTTGAAGTCAGTTAAAAATACAGGATTATTATTATATGTATTCAGTGGTTTCATTGCGCTGCGGCCTTACTGCGAGCTGATAGTGGATGATTTTTGTTATTGTAAATTTGTTATGCCTTCGTATTGATTGTCCTATTATATGATACATATTATGTTAGATAGATAATTGTTAAGAGGAGTTGCAACGGTCAAACAAATCTGTTTGGGTTTAAGATTGTAAACTAAAATTATACACTATCTTTAGGCGGCTTCTCACGGACTGTGATTTATAGATTTCCCGGCACAGCCAACGACTACGGATACTAACGCACCGATTTTTTGACTTTGTGAAGACGACTTATCAAGAAAAGCTAGTTTGTTTTTATTCCTCGTATTAATGTTATGTCTGTCACTATTTTTTATAAAAAAATTACTATTCCTTTTAACATAAATTACATTTTCATAAATGTACTGTGAGGCTAGTGTAAGAATGTTAATTTCCTTAAACTTATCTCTCAAAGATACTTTGGGGCCCAGATTGTAAATTGCCCTAACTGCACGTTTCTGCAGGACAAAGATTCTATTGATATCGGCGGCATTACCCCAAAGCAAAATTCCGTATGTCATTAGACTGTGAAAGTAGCTGAAGTAAACCAATCTAGCGGTTTCGGCGTCTGAAATTTTTCCTTATTTTTTTAATAGCGTACACTACAGAGCCGAGCCGTTTTGATAACTTACTTATATGGGGACCCCATTGCAATTTAGCATCTAACGTTATACCTAGAAATACAACTGTATCCACAAGATTAAATTTTTCGTTTCTAACTACAATGTTTGTAATCGTCTCTCTAACATTGGGTAATGTAAATTTCACACAATTTGTTTTTTTCTCATTAAGGAGTAGGTTATTAACAGCAACCCAATCAACTACTTTAGATATAGCATTGTTCACATCGTCGTAGGAACATTGGTGCGTCTTAACTTTAAATAATAAGGAAATATCATCAGCAAACAATACTATCTCATGTTTTATACCCTCCATAAGGCTTGGTAAGTCATTAATATAACCTAAAAAAAAAATGAGCCTAGAATTGAACCTTGAGGGACACCCATGCTAGTTGCAGACGCTGATGATCTCGTACCATTAACATCGACCCGCCACACCATAATGGCGAAGTTTCCTGACCAATGCATCATGGTGCACACACTCAAAAGCCTTGGAAAGGTCACACAATACACCAATAGCATCAAGTGAGACTTCCCATGCATCAAATATATGATTAATCAACTCGACACCAGCTTCGGTTGTAGAGCGAGCCCGAGTGAAACCAAATTGTTTAGGAGACATTCAAGTTATTACTATAAAAATGTGCACACATCCGATTTGGAATATTTTTATCAAATATTTTACTGAGAGTTGGTAGTATTGATATAGGTCTGAAATTGGTGAGGTCAGAAATATTACCAGATTTGAAAAGTGGAATAATTTTACTTTGCTTCAAGAGGTCAGGAAAGACACCATCATCAACACATTTATTAAAGACACAGGCTAAGTAAGGCGCAATACAATCAACTATAGAACTAATTACTCTGACTGAAAGACCGTCAAGATCAACAGTATTTTTTATGTTTATAGACTTAAAGGCTTTAACAATGTCGTTTGAAAATACATGACGGAACCTCAAATTAGTGATACTAACTGCATTATTTTCTTTTAGTAAGGATTCAGCGGCGGTGGGAGATGAATTTAACGACTTAGTAGTCAAAATTGGAATGTCAGTAAAAAAAATTTCAAATATTTTAGCAACTTCTGCATCTGTGTTTACAATTTTGTCATTAAATCTTAGTTGAAAATCTAAGTTACGAGGTTTGACCCTTCCAGTTTCGCTGTTTATAATATTCCAAGTTGTTTTTACTACTTTCGCGCTGCTTTTTATTTTATTATTTATAAACATTGCTTTGGCTGCAACACAAACACGTTTAAACATTTTCGAATATTTCCTAACAAAATCATTAAAGCTGTTACTAGTGTTATAACTCCTTTCATCGTAAAGATCATATAGTCTTTGTCTACTTTTGTGAATTCCCACAGTCGCCCAATCACTAAATTTCAATGAATTATTAATAGTTATGATTTTGGACTTAAAAACATTATCACGTTCACTCTTCACTATGTTGAAAACTGAATTATACAATTTACTGGGATCGTTAACGTACGGAATGTCGGTTAGTTTAAGCATTACGTTATTTCTATAAGCTTTAAGTCGACCATTGTTTATCGGAACATATGTGATATCCTTTTTTGGCATTTTGTCAACAGTTATATTAAATTCATCATCATTCATACCTTCATTATCATCAGGCGAGGTGCTAGGCAATGTATCTTCCACCTGTTCTCTCTGTACCACGGAGACGTTCAAGCCACCAAGACTGACGCGTTCGTAGTGGAAGTGAGCGCACTCTTCTAGCTTTGGAAATCTGCATGACGCGGCTGCTGGTGCCGGCTGGAAACGAAAAAGTACATGAGCGAAATTAGGCGAATTCGTTATTTTCAATATACCGTCTTTCTCTTAGCTAGAAGTCGATGCTACGAATTAATTTTCTTTCCATATTAATACAGTTCATTTTGCTTGAGTGCAGTGGCAGGAACTAAATTAAAGCCATTTTAAAAATGTATGTCGATTGTGAACTGGCAATTGGTACTATCTCAATTTTGACAACTTTACAGGACGAAGAAATAAATTGGATGCGTCAATTATATAGCATCAGCTCCCGTAGCATGGCTACGCATGATGTCGCGACGCGCGATAATATTGAAATAAGCGCGCGCTATTGGCTAACTAAATTAGATCTGATTGAGACAGTCAATAGCGCGCGCTTATCCAATTTTATCGCGCGAGTCGTGACTACCATGCGTAGCCACGCTGCGGGGGCTGGTTTATTACACAAAAATGCGTACTTTTTAAATATTTTTATTACACATGTATGTATGTACACTACGTATTTTTTTTTATAAACCAGATGCTATATAAATGACGGAAACAATTTTTTTCTTCACCTGTAAAGTTGTCAAAATTGAGATAGTAGCGGTTGCCAGTTCACAGACGACATCGAATGGAACGGCAGCGTCAATTTCGCCTCGCTACGCGAAAAGGCGCGCTCGGTAACTGGTATGTTCGAGCATACCAGCGTTCGCGAGCTTTTTCTCGCGACTGCGCCTTGAAATTGTAGTAATTCATCGACGTTTGACATCACACTGGGCCTGCCCTCACGCCACTTCCCGTGAATTAGCCAGGCGTCGCCAGCGGCAGCAGAAGACGTGCGACATAATTTTTGGGCTCTTATCTAGTTTGTACGTTACACATTGACCATAAAGTTAATTACGCTATATACAATATCGTTACAAAAATTCGCTTCCAATATAAATTGAGCCGAAGGGTGGCAAATTAGGTGAAGCATTCGGTTTATTGAATTGAACCCACTTTTCGTTAACCAATGTCCATAAAACTTGGCACGTAGATGTAATTTCAATTAAAATAAAACACCGCGAAATCGGAGAAGAAAACTTTTGAGGGCGATTATTTAAAAAAAAATGTCATTTTATAAAACTAAATTAAATAGGATTTTATTCATCAAACACAAACATAGTATGGACATATTCATATATAGAAAATCACATGATACGTGTACTAATAAACTATGAGCTACTCTGATTTTCTAATATGTTTCTGAAAAAGACGAAGCCACGGCATAGTGCTGTTTTTCAGTCTCCGCCTGTGTTCTCTGTCGGAACACAATATTGAACAAAAGGTCTATAACAAAACGAACATCTTTAATCTAACTATTTTTTACCGGTTCCAAGTGATAATATGTAAAGTATAATATCGTTAAACCATACAAACACAAGAACCAAGAACGATATAGGGTATAAATTATTGTTACCAGACAACTACGGATTTACTATGCAGAAAACACTTCGCAACTTACCGTATCGCTGAGATCGAAGGATATGGCTGTTGGTGCAGACAGACTCATGGCGCCCTGTGACGACGGTGTGACGCTCAGAGCCGTCAGGGATATGGATCCTTCTCTTTTGCCCTCATCATTGTGTTTTTCTCGCGTCGAGCTTCGTGATTCTGAACTAAAACGGACTGATCTGAAAACGGAAGAAAATTAAGCGTTTACATTCGGTCCTCCGAAAATAAGACAGTCGCCACACTTATTGACGGAATCGTACTAAGGCGGTCTGTAAAAATTTTATATCCAAGTAATAAGAGCGACAACAAGAGTAGATACTACGCCAGCTCGAATCCAAGTTTTTCCCGCACTAATACGGTTCATTTTGCTTGGGTCGAGTGGCAGGGTCACTGGCTTTATTTAAGAATTTTTTTCTATAAAGCCATTTAAAAAATGTATTTTTTTTTATGTAAGGAAGGAGGCAAACGAGCCGACGAGCCACTTGATGGGAGGTGGTCATCGTCGCCCATGGACATTTGCAACATCGGATGAGCTGCCTATGCGTTGCCAGCGTTTGAGAGCCCTGTAAACACGCTTTTTGCAGAACCCCATGTCATAACGCAAAGGGAACACTTCAGGAGGAAGATCATTCCACACCTTGCAGGTTCGAGGAAAAAACGAACGAGATGCCCGTGTGGACTTACAACGCTAGGCATCTAAGATGTGGGGATGGGCTATACTCCTTTGGCGGGAGGTGCGATGGTAGAAACGAGACGGTGGCACCAGTTCGAAAAGTTCCTCAGAGCACTCCCCATTATAAAGACGGTAGAACACACACAGAGAGCCAACGTCTCTCCGTAAGTTAAGGGGCTCCATACCGTCTGTGAGTTTGAGATCATCGATAATACGAACAGCCCTACGTTGGATGATAGAGTCAAGTGGATCAAGCTGGTATTTGGGAGCTCCTGCCCTGAGATGCGAGCAATACTCCATAAGGGGACTTGTGTTTTATATAACAAAAGTCGGTGACCTGGAGAGAAGTACTGCTTCGCTCTATTGAGCACTCCGAGCTTTTTTGAAGCCAATATATATCAATATGTATAGTATATCGTATACTATACGTGTTCTATTTAGTTTAATTGATTTAAAAAAGAAACCATGGTTTTCTTGTAAAACTTTCGAGGTCAGTTTGTGTTTTTTTTCTTAGGAATTGTGTTTTCACACCGTATACTAATCGGTGTATATCCACAATTTTAGTATATATTTTTTCTTCATTCAACACTTTTATGCAGAACACACTGTTATGCAGAATCAACCATTTGAGGTAGTTTAGACTCTTTAAGACCAGGCGACACACGCGGTACGGCGTGAATAGCGGTCCGGGGCCGGACCTGCGGGAAATGAACGCCGGGGTGTGCCACACAGCAGTCCTACGCGTTGTTCAAAGCGGGACAGCGGCGCGAAGCCGGTGTCACAAAGAGATTTTTAAGAATGCATCATATCGCTATCGGAATTTCTGCTTTTAAAAAGAAATTCAGTGTACGATATCAATGGGAGAAGCTTTTCGGTGAAATAAATATTGAAACTTTATAAATTGTTCTTTGTCTTCTTTATAAAATTCTAAATTACCGCCAGCTTCCTTATTATCTGTGTTCCCGTTTTACACCCTTATCCCCCAATGGGCCGCCCAAAACGTAACTGTGACACTAGAACACTATTATATCCCCAATCCGACCCCAAATTCTTCCACAATTCTTTCACTGTAAGTGCAGGTCGTATGTGGAATAAACTACCTGCTGACATTCGTGACAGTCCATCGTATGGTATCTTTCAAACACAAATTAAAAGAGCACTTACTGTCGAACGCGTTAGATGCTTAATCGGTAACATATTTATAAACAAGTGATCTGTTATTATAATATATATTCTGCTTATGTATGTATTTATGCATATAAAGATGAACTTTATGTGTATTTATGTGTATATGTATATTATCATTATTTATATTTCATTCCCATTTAAATTTTAATTTTGTTGTACAATAATTAGTCCCGCAGGCTTCATTTTTGCACATTTTTTGCTAGGGTTGGCTGAAAAAGATCTCTTATAGAGATAAGCTCACCTTTATATATGACCATTGTAACGTGTGTTGTGTGTCTTTTCTTTGAACATTACAAAAATTCCTGGGCCCGAAACGTTCCTGCTACCGCGTCTGTGTGACCAGAGCATTGGTGCTCGATCTGACAAACTATGGCTGCTATCAAATTGACTGTTTGCTATTGATGCGTGAGGTCATCAGTTTCATGCACCCGAGACCGCGACTGCAAGAAGTTGATAATGACTTCACGCAATAACTTCATACATGCAGTCAATCTGTTAGCAGCCTAAGCGTGTTTGCAGGAAGCGGCCCGCGCCGCCCGACTCCCTTTGAGTACCCCGCAGTTGCTCTGCGCAAGTACATTCGTCGCGGAACTGTATGGTTTGTAAAACTGTGATATTGATTTTCAACGTACAATATTATATCTATCACTGTCTCACCTGTGAAAAGTACCACAATGAGGAGCGCTGTCCTTGTCTGGCTCGGCGAAGGCCCGCGCTGCTAGGGACTGGCACGACATCACGGATCCGTGAGGGGAGCCCTGAGAACCAACAAGTTTCATTAATAAAATTTGCTGTGATGAAATCTGACCATAGCGTTGGCTATCCGTTTCCAGTATAAGTTGACACACGGCGCCATTAGTGGCCATAACATTACTAAGTTTGACACGACCAGCAGGGCTAGCACGACAGGCCACGACTTGCGCGAGATTTTTATGTGTGAATAGTAGTATCTCCTCCACGTGGACTCCATAAATAAAAACGAGAATTTAGCCATAGAAATACAAATCTTAAGTCTATCATATCACAGGTCACAAATTTACTAGATCATAAAGTGAAACCCCAAACACTACGGTGTGCTGCTGTATGCAAATACAAAAAAACTACTTCTCTCACCTGTCTAGCTGATAAGTATTATATAGCATGGTCGTTCGTATAAGCAGAACAACTACAAACATTCACGTAATGAACAAATGAATCTATGATATCATCGACGTATACATTAAACAGCACATGCCACAAATGAGAGCCTTGAGGAACTCCACACTAATCAGGCTCAAATACATTAACTAATGATAAGTCTGCTTTCAGTCATAACAATACATAGAAAATAATATGTAATGTAATTGTATAAAAAAGTATATAAAAAAAAAACTCTAACTCGGCAGTTATCTGAACAATATAATAGTTAATAACAATATAGTTAAGTGGTTATGGGCCGCTAATGACTGCGATTGCCGTTTATCTCAAGTACCACTTGAGAATACATTGTGTATTTATCAGAATGAGAACAAAAAAGCGAAATTAAAGAATAGGATGGCGTTCTATAGACCTACAGACATGACATTGAAATATATTTTGACGATCTCGATGGCCCAACGATACGTGGGCGTGACATGAGAAGGTTCCGCAAGGGACCAATTTGGTCAATTAACTTTTCCAAATTGCTTCTGGTCTGGGTGTTCTGGGTGTCCCTATCTACCGACCCGAGAGATAGGGAGTTCCGGGGAGACTACGGACTCTCCGGTAAGACCAGGGTATGGGGCGGGCTTCCGGGCTAAGCTCTCCGCCAGTGATACGCCTTCACGGGCGTCTCTGGCGGACTCGGACTCTGACATAAACATGGTCGTCTGGTTCGGTGGTGTGTGGCCAGCTAGCACGTCTTAATAGCGGTCTAGACGAGAGAGAGTTTGCGCTTTAAATCGGAAGTTATATCCGGACATTGTCACAGGACACTGCGACCGACATCTCCTGTACTAGCCCGGAGAGCTACTAGAGGCTGAGCTAGGCATTGTCCGGTCCCTCCAGTCGCGTAGGCAGGTTTCTGGGAAATGGAGAGAAGCTTCGGCGTCGTGAGCTACGCCGAACTAGTACAGCTCCGCCAGCAAAGAGGAGAATTTCTTTTAGAGTAAATGGCTTAGCTGTGGCAACTGTTAGTTGTGCAATGCACAACGGGAAGTGAGCGTGCCTACGGGTACCTATCTGGAAAACAGGGAGGGTACTGTACGTGCACCCGGGGCGGCTCACCCGAGGTACTAGCCTCTTGAAAACCGGATGAAGTCAGTGACAACGGTCTGCGACAATCCTGTACACTGGCTAATCCGGGGTCAAGACTTGAACTTAGAAGGTCCCTATGCTTGCACAGGTCATAGTGCCCTTCTCATACACCCTTCGAGCGTGTGCGGACTACGTCCGACTCGTATCAGGGGGTCTACTCTCGATCTCCGTCTGACATCCGTCCGAAACAATTACTGCCAAATAAGCAATACTTGACCAAATGAAAAGTCGCGTGATGCGAATGAAGCTTCATACTTGATACTTGTCTTTTAATTTTGTCGAATATTACTTATTTGACAGTAATTGTTTCGGACGGATGTCGGACGGAGATCGAGAGTAGACCCCCAGTTCCGAATCCGAGAAATGACGGTCCGAAATGTCACATGAATAATTTTTTCTCTAGGTGTACAAGCGATATTCGGAGGGTTCGAAATGACCTTAGTGCACAAGCGGCATCCGAAGTAGGTCCGAATTTTCTAGATTTGTATAATCTCGGATTCGGAACGACGCAAACGCGCTAAGAGTCAGTAGGGAGAGTTTCCACAATCAAAACTTATATAGAAAGGAATGTTCTGGGTAATGTCACGGAGTGAGAGGATATTCACTAGTTTGAGACCGTGTAACTGGTGTGGTTGTCTAGCACATTATAATTATTATTATCGTTACTAAAAAACAGTGCTAAACCTCGATAATTGTGAAATCATAGTTTATAAGTAGTTTATTTTTTAAATGGTATTAATTTATTTCCTGCTTGTTTTAAAATGTAATCAAATAGCCACAATAAAAAGTATATTACAACCACTTATCGCACTTGAAAATGAATACTGTCGTAACTAAAAACTTGATAAAACACAATTTGAAAGTTCAAATTAAAACTGAATGGATCGTATAGCGAATAATGTCATTTATTTACTTATTTAGTTATATATTAATTAATAAACGAGAAAATAAATTTATTGGTTTAATTTATTTTTGTTTAATCACTATTATTTATAATAAGTTCGTATTATTTTTAAGACTTTTATGACTGTGATAAAAGCACTTGTCACGTATGATCACATGTGCCTTTATTATACTAAGAATACGAATTCTTCTTTTTAACTGACTTCAATATAGGAGGGAGTTCTCATTTCAACTGTGTTGTGTGTTTTTGTGTGACGTTACGCGATTTGTCAACCGATTTTGATCATTCTTTTTAATTGGAAAGAGGGTACCTCGATATTGGTCCCATTTAAAATTGAAGATAATATTCATCTTCTAAGGGTGGCAAACTAGGGGATGAATCCGGTTTCGCGCAACTTCCGGTAACCGATTTCAATAAAACTTGGCAAATAGATGTAATTCACAAACAAACTTTTGAGTTTTTTTAAGTTATTTAAATTTCGGATCACTAGATTCTACTAGGCCTTTATAAGTGATTAATTAATAATTAATTATTTACATATGTCAACATCGTAACTGCGTCTCAACTGCGACACGACGCAAAATATTCGCTTCCCGCCTACGTCCAAATATGTTGTGTTTTATGGCCCTTAGCACGTGGTATCTGACATCATCTTTATGGTAATCAATTGAACCTTGCATGCAAGACTGGTGGTGTCAATTTAATTTAAAGATGCATGTTTAGTTCAGTGTGTTGGTTACATACATTTTTTTTTACGATTATTAGAATTGTTTAATTCATTACAATCAGATCTTGTATGCTCGCTAATTAGAACTCGGATTCAAAGTTTCGGATTCACAGAATTAAATAAGATACTTCAACATTCTGTACAAGATATTACTATCACACATGAAATCAAATACTGTCGTAACTCAAAATTCAGTAATTTATAAAATACGATTCGCAAAATAATCCTTGTTTTTTAATAAAACCATGGGACGGGACGAACAAGTCGTGCGCCTGCTGGTAAGCGACATGCCTAGCCATAACAGTTGCAGTGCCACTCAGAGCTTAAAGCTCTGTCGCAAATTGTGTTTGATCGCAAATATCTTAGGGGCACTGCGCCCGTCACCCTGAGACATAAGTTGACAAGTCCCAAGTGCCTGTAATACCACCCGCACCCCAACAAAACCTCCACCTGATGGAAAGTGACGATGAGGTCGCCAATGGAGCATGTAGACCTAAATAGTGCCATTAAACGTGCCTGTGATTTCACCAACACCCTTACCCTTCCAAATTGGAAAGCAGTTGGCGGCAGTGATAGGTGAGGTGGCAGACTTCCCTTATCAAACTCTCACAAGGAGCTCTAAATAGCTACTAAAATTATTCGCAATAAGACCCATTCAGTAACTTTTTGGAAATTTCAAATCTTGTTTTCTCAATTCCACCATTTTTGAGTTACGACATTATTTAGTTTCATGTGTGTTATGTTGACACATCATTGTAAAGTAACAAGAAAGATCTACTGTGATGAGTGTGGTTTCTTAGAAAAAAGGGAGTGACAATGCAGATTATTACTGCAGATTAACCAATATGTCATTATTTATATGTATTGGTTAAAAGTTACATTCTTAATATCTGTCTTTTGTGATCTGTATCGATATAATATTATTATTCTAATGGTATCTTTTCATAGCCTGCACAGTTAACAACACTGCAACCAGTAACTTTAACACACGCTAAATAAATGTTCAATTACATATTGTAAAAAATATTTGTATCGCCTACATTTATTTCTGTTTCGTCAGTATGGGTGTAATCTGTGGTTGTCTAAGTGTGTGTCCGAGGCACCCAGTATACAGGACTTTCAGGTGGTTTAACACGTACACACTCATAGCCCCGCGGCTATGAGTGTGTACACGTTAAACCACAGTTTATCAGAATGTAACAAAAAATTTGAACATCTGAATAAAGAAACAAAATATAAAGCAATATTATATAAGAAAGAGAATTCAAATTGTGAAGTTTCAATAGACAACAACAATAATTCACCTATTTTAACAAATATAAATGTTGGATACTAAAGCAAGCATGCTTTGCGGCATGTGAAAAAATTGCAGGGAATGCAGCTCCTGTTTAAGGCCAATTCACATTTTAAAATAGTTCATGGAGACACACGGACACGGGAAGTTGGTTATTGTAGTCAAATTATTTGGATTGCTTCTTCAAGGCCAGCTAAGCATCATTGCAAAAATTGGACCGCTGAAACTAAATGCATATTGCATAGATATAAAAGCACTTATTTTCAGATCTAACTAATGCGATTTGTGTCTATTAAGTGTGGTGACACACTTATCTGCTTCATGACGGAATCTATATAGCTCATGCTCTTGCATAAGTTGAGGTTGGACATGTACTTATTCAAGCCAATGTCCCGTGAAAGCCTTGGTCAGTATTCAGAGGCCAATAGAGTAGAAGAGAACTACTACAGTAATTAATACTGTGCTCCATGGCATCATTATAATTATATAACCAGTATATTATTTCTAGTTTCAGACTAAAGATAAATTAAACTGAATGATAACTGCTTCAGCTGTATGGTTACCATGCCGGATTGACATGCAGAGTTCCCGGGCCGGGAGAAATATTTGTATGGTCTGCATTTATTTCTCTCATGACTTTGGGTGTCATTTGTGGTTGTCTATGTTGTGTCCATGTCACATACAGGGTTTCCCTAGTGCGGGGCTACAAGTGTGTGTATTATTATTATTAGATTTTTGTTGTATTATGGCTTTGATTATGACATTTAGCCACTGTTCAAATTATAAACATAGACACATTTTATAATACAGAAGTGTAATGAGACTTTATCCGTACAAGTTTTTAAGCTGTACATTTTTGCTTGTCTGCCATTCCTTGCAATTTAATCACAGTCCCCTTTACACTAAAGTACTCTCACCTTATAAACAAACTTCTTATAGTTACAGACATTTAGTATACAGCTAACATTCATTGTGTACAGCCAACATGCTTGTAAAATGAAAATTAGAAATGAAACATTTTAATTAGGCTCAATGATTTACAGAGTTTAAGTTTATAATAAAATTTTATTTAAAAGTTATGTTAGGATTGAACTGTTAGACAGTAAAATGTTTTGTGCAAAAAGGCTGAATGTTTATGTAATGTAAAAGATTGAAAAATAAAAAAACTACAAAATAAAAAAAAACATACAGACAACATCTAGACAGGCTACCGCCTCACATTCTGTCCGCATAGGAGCCAGCTCTCTGAACACACTCCAAATACTCTTCTCATGTTTTTGGTTTAATTTTTCAGTTATAATAACAATGTTTCTACAAAGATCACCATTTAAGTGTTGTTGGTCAATAAGGTGATTTGTCAATGTCACTGCTTAACACATAAAAAAATAAATTTGATTTTTTGGAGTTCCTAATTAAAAATTTGATTATACTACTTTCACTCACACACACCCTGATTTTAGTTTTTGTTTCTTTGATTAATTATTTGTTTAGTTTAAACTAACAAACTATTGTTTAATCACTTGTTTAAATACACTGCACGGTCTGAAAAGTAACTTGGCACTATCATTTAGGACACAAAAACCGTATTTGTACTAAAATTGGCACGAATTTAGCAACAAAGAATTTCGAAAGCGAATTTCAACTTGCTTATAACCCAATCTCGGAAACGCTTCACTAATTCCGTCTCAGAAATGACTATGTTCGCTTCAAAGGATCATTATGAACGCCGAAAACGTTGATTTCGAAACAAAACACAATATTTATGCGGTAAAACTGGGGCTACTAAACAAAAATAGACGTCGTTCTAGTGCAAATGAATTCACGAAAAGCGTTAACATAAACGTTATAATTGCAGCATTATATTAATATTCCGTGTATAAGACATGTTTGATAGTTCGCAAAGAGCAATATTATTAAGAAATTAATTCACGATAAAGCGTATTTCATAATAAAACAAACGCTAATCGTAACACAAGCGTTAATTCGATTTGACAGCCGCCCCCCGCACGGCGCGCCGACCGGTCGCGGTCGATCGCAGTGTTACTAGAGCGGGCTAATTTTGCCGGAAAAATGGGAAAATCAGATTGCGTTCAACTATAAAGAAATATTTTATTGCGAGATGATGGATGCTAGGGAATCCAGTGTTTTACAGTACAATACAATATTATTTGCTGTTTCATTACTAATTTCATGATGCATCTGAAACCGTAACTATAACCGATATAAAATACATATTTGCAACAAATGCAAACCAGTTTTGTTGTTCTAACTGCGTCATCAACTATGTTTACCAATTTTTTTTTATAAATCCAAGATTATAAATGAGACAGTTTTATAGTGCACATACATTTTCTCGTTTCTCAATAATGCCGCCTCGGCTTAACGAATCGATACCTCCAATTAACACTACGTCAACTTTTTTTTGGTCATTTATTGTTATTTTTGTGAACAGCCAAATTTATTTACTAATATATAATAATAATAATAATAACGCTATTCATTTCATATAACTTGAATCCATAATTTGTTAGATGCACACACTTATAGCTATGTTAGTTTTGTATTCTAGCCATAATTAAAACAATCACTCACCGGTTTGATTGACGTACGGTTTAATTAATTGATGTAATATTAAGTTCCCCGAATTTTGTGAAAAAAAAGTAACAAAAACAAAATTCGAAAAACACAACAAAAAAAAACAAATTTTGTGAAAAACAAAATAAAAACAGAACAGGTCAAAAATTAAGTTGGCGACCTGGCCACCAAGTATAGTTTATTTTTGTCCCTAACGTTATATCAGTAGGTAAATATCGAAGTAGTGTTCACCATTAACCATTAAGTATTACGTCCCACTTCTGGGCACGGGTCTCCTCCAAGGAGAAGTTGTCGCAAGTGGCTAACATTGAAATTAAAGTACCTATTACAGCGCTCTGGTGGTATCTAACTTTGAAATTAAAGTAACTATTACAGAAATTTGTTGCAGTTATGTCCTACGGAGCCGAGGCGCCGACATTTAGGCCTAGGCCTAGGCCTCATCTACTAATTTAAAGTGGCTTAGTCGATCGAGTTCCTAAGAAGTCATACCTCAAAGAACTAAAGTGACCGACATTAGCTCACATAATCAGTAAACTTAAGCGGCAATGGGCCGGACATGTCTGCAAGAGGGCTGATGGCCGACGCAGCAGACTTGTCCTAGATCGGTGACCACGTCAAGGCAAACGTAGTGTAGAACGCCTTGCGGCAAGATGGACGGACACCTGAGAAAGGTGGATGGTAGCGGCACAAGGGACCTACACTCGAAGCACGACATCCGTAGTTACAGCTGTTAGCGTACAATGGATGACCTACGGGACTACTCTCGAAGTCCGTCAACGAAAAGACGGGCCCGTTAGAAACTGTCAAATCGCGTTGACACACGTTCTTAGTTCTAGCTCCGATCGAAACACGAGTCTAGAGGGGTTACCTATCAGTAGTTCGAAATGACATTTTCCAGAAATATCGTTTGCTCGAATATTCATAACCTCGAAAGTAATTTTGAGAGGAAAATGTTTTTTCTTTTAATTTTAATCGTGACTGCGATAAACATCCAATATATCCTGAAAGAACAACGGTTTCGTTATAATTCAGTATTCGTTGTAATGAAAATTGGAACAAACGTTATTTCGGAAAAAAAATTCGAGTTTGTGATAGGTTACCGTCTGGAGGTCATCCGTAGTGGGAAACCGGCCATAATTAGGAATTTCGTGCTTCGAGTGTAGTGCTCCAGGACCGGGAGAATTGGCATGATCAGGGGGAGGTTTATATTCAGCAGTGGAGACGCGAAGCTAGTGATTGATTGTTATAGTGATTTGAACCGTCGATCTACATCGAGAAGCAACCTTTCTCTCATTAGACTACCGCCGCACTGAAATTTGAAATCGTTTCAAAATAAAACAAGTTTCTCAAAACAGACAGCGAGGAAGATCTTTATATAAAAGCCGAATAGTAACATTCCCAAGTCACGTCACGTAATATTAAGTATTGTTTTGTTTTGTATATTTTGAGGTTTTGTGAGAATTGATTGCGCTACGTTTATGACAGTACATTGTGTTTATGCACAGAGCATCCACTGGTGGATTAGCACAACATTGAAGAACCATCAAGACAAGACAGCATCTAAAACGTAATAGCCATTTCAATGTTAGTCCTGTTCCTTGTAAAGTTCATCCTGTGTCCAGCAAGTTAAAAAAAAAATGTTCAAGGTCAACGGTCATAATCATAATAACACCACACGAAAAAATGGTTGTCCTCTGTTTAAAGCCCACTACAAAAACATGTAAACAAACACAGATAATGTTCGTAAATATGTAAACATCTTCACATCCTTAAAACATATCACATCTTTCAATGATTTGCGCTCGGATAAGAAGTAGGTAGTTCTCATCTGCATTTTTCTTTATATTCGTTCGGGAGGCCGCCCGCCAGAACTATCTCGACTTTGTGCTCGACAGAGTGATTTTATATGTGCACTTCTTTTCATTCATACGTCATTTTTCTTATCGACAGTTTTGTGTCGTGCTGGTGTCTACTGGTGACTGATTGTTACGGTGGACCTATGGAGCTCCAAAAAATAGGCAAAAAGGCAGATAATACCGGTGACGTCATCCACCATCTCATAAGAGGAGCTGAATACAAGAAGATTAAAGGTAGGCGGGTTTTATATTGGTATCCGCGACCATAAATATTACTATTTACATTTTGTCCGACCAGCTAACATTACAGCCCACTTTTCGTTCATTCTTATTCCAACCTACAACTTTCGTCAACAGAGAAACTTATAAGATCTGCTGACTTGGTCTGTAACTAAGTTGGTTAAGAACAGTGGCCCCGGCATGGCGTACTGGTTCGAGTCCATTAACATCGAAGAAATTCTTTGTAACTAAATCTTTGTATTAATAATTATAACAAACTGGTAAGTGACTGAAAGTGGAAGATCCCCCTTGGTGTCTTGGAGTTTAATTCTTTAGAAGTAAGACGCAACTATGGTGTACTGACTTTTGCTGGTGGAATCTTGCGAGGAGATTCCGATTGCCTAGAATTGGTGACGCAACGGGCGCGCCTGTTCGTCTCCCGCTAAATAATATTAACCTACAGCCACGAATTCATCATCTGCTGGCAGTGCCGGCGGTACGCACTGTGCTTCACAGTAAATCACCGTTTGTTCGCGCCCTGCACTGTCTTTATGTCTTCTCGTATCTGCACCAGACTGCGATGTTTTTGCAAGTGGATGGGTGGCTGTATGTGATGAATGTTTGAGGTTTTGTGAGAAAATGGATGAACGCCTGTCTTCTGTGAACTATTAAATACAAATTGTCTATTTATGACTTTCAGAGTGCCTCGGTATTTTGGAATAATGCTGTGTAATTTTATGAAATAAATAAATAAAACATGGAAGTAAAATACCATGATATTCAATAAATAAGTATAGCATCCCTCATTGTTCGGTGAAATTATCTTCCTGGCAACACTCAACCTATGTCGAGTAATTAATACAAAAAACCTGTACAATTTCCCGTGTAAACACGAAGTTCTTTCCGGCACCAGTTATTCAATAAGATTATAAGACGTATAATTTATAACGGTCACACAATTTTGGCGGTGTTTTAAATAAATTTTAATTGTAAAAATATTGTTTTTTTTATACTGGTTTGTAAAAGGTTGTAGGGTCTGCGTTTTTAGAGCCTTAATTTTTTTTAAATGCTTCAATCATCTTACACGCACAGTTGGCACAGGAACCTGTAAAAAACCCGTGACGTTATATTGTTCGAAAAAAAACATTTGGATCCGAAAAAAAAAAATCATAACTGGAATTAATTTTTCGATGTTTGAACTAACGCCTGAGGCATTATTAGTAAAAAGGCGCGTCAGGCGCTTTTCATCCGGGCGTTCTGATCCCAACTCAAAAATTCACTATTATAGGTACGGAAAAAGAAAAATGAAAGTAATGAAGGAAATTATTGCTGTAGAAATTAGTGTTCGTTTTAGAGACAAAATGAAGGACAGTGTAATAAAAGAGAGTTGTGGTGCGAACGATGGTGAAGCGACTGCAATAGATAAGGGAATGCTTCGACGGTTTGGTCATATAGAAAGGATTGATGTTAACATAACGACACAAATTCATACAGCGAACATGACGGTAATTGGCGTGGCTATCTGCCACTATTACTATAATGCTGTGGAAATTAGAGCATTGCGAAGTACGTGTGAT